GTCCCATTCAGTAAATTTGAAATTCAACGGCGTATTGACCTATTCTGGACAGAAGCGCAGCTTGTTCTCTGACCGCTTTATCGCAATGGCTTCGTTTCAATGATTTTTGTTTTTAAATCATCGTTCAAACATTTCCTACCTATCATTTTTTCCCACTGCTTATCCGGTATCATTGAATCATTCCCTTAATCATGTTTTTTCTCTTTTTTTTTTACCAAAGTTCAGTCATTACTAGTGCTTCTACCTCGTTTCATCCACTTTTCTGCGTTGATATTAACCATGAAACGAGAAATTTTTTAGCGTCCATTAAGTGAAATCGAACTCATATTTGTGTAAAATATGATCAACATTATGGAGAATAACAGCGTTGTAATGGCAATATTGGATTTGAAATTGCCAGATGAAAATGGAAGTCTTGTAAGTGTTGGGTTAAAAATGTTGGAGACTCCCTAAAATTTGAACTTGATGCGCTCAAGTGTTCTAACTCGTTTTATTAATTAACCGTTTCATTTGTAGTGTAGCACTTGCATTAGACGTAATCACACTAATCAACGCGTAACTAAAATGAGAACCATTGAAGTCTTCTTTCACCCCTACAACTCTCCGTGCTCACTTAATGGTCTCCGCTCTGTTAGGAATCATTTGATATTTTTTATACCAGGATATTTTTACTGCTTCTGGGGATCAGGGAAGCGTTCACCGAACCATAGGGTTTACTCTTATATGAGCTTTAGATGGAAATACCTACATCGTCTTAGGATCAGTGGTCACGCTTAAGTAATTCTCTACATATCAGAGTTTGCCAACCTAGAAAGCCCTGTGAAACGCAAAGAAGCTTTCTCATATTGAGCAATCTATTGAATATAACACATATTATTATAGTCACTATTGCTCCTACCGCTAAAATAATGATTAAATACTTCAGAAGTCCGTTTTAAATCTGTCTGTACATGTTTTGAAGCAGTACTGCCATCTGGATCAGGTGGCGGATTTCGCCAAACTCACTCTATTCATCTACAATTCAAATGCCACAGATTTAAAGACGGAAGTCAGGTGATGAAAACTATAGTCGATGTTTGTGTACTTTCCTGTCATAAAGTAGAAATCCACATTGATTCTTTTTCTTTTTGTGCTTAGATAGAAGAAAAGGAGCGCTAAAACGATGAAATAGATCTCCTCGAAGACAAATCATAGCTTTGTTTTTTCATCAATAGATTTTATTTCTATTTAAATGATATGACCATCTGAGCAATTATACTTCTTGAACACGAGCTTAGTGAATGACTGTCCTTGACTACTAAAATTTTCACACCATAGAAGACGTTATATATTGTTAAGAATTGTTCAGAGATACGACCAAGTGTTTGCATTTCGTTAACGGTTCTCATGAGTTTCACACTTCTGCCCAGTATTCAAGTTATTGTTTTGTCAGTCTATTTTGTCCTTATTTTAGAATAGCATACAGTGCCTCTCCCGACGGTTAAGCGCCTCGTCGTGGCTGGGGTGGGGTGGTGATCCTGGGTGTCGCACTGCGATGTACAACGGTGGGATTCGTTTTCCCGGCAGAGTCTCCTAAGCTGAGAAGGAGTCCGGCGTTTCTACCAGGAAACTCAACTAACAGTAAACTATTACCAGGATTCACTACCGCCCTTGTCTGGAACTAGCCGTATGCTGGTAAATCTCCACATGATCCACAAGTGCCGGCAACTGCCTGTGGTGGTGAAGACCTAGGCAGACTTTGGCCGAACCGATCTCGGGATTCCAGAGAACCACAATGGCTAGGCCAGCAAAACTCCGAAAAAATGGAAATTATGCTGGGGTCCGCTCAACCAGTGAGGACGGGCTATCCAAGTGTCCAAGTAATTATACTCTACCACGAAACATTCCGCTTCTTAAAATTCAGGCTTGCACTCTAGATATGACTCATTTGATTCACGACATTACCATCTTCTCCGCTAGTGAAAAGTCCGCATTTAAAATGAATTTGGTGTTTTCAGTCTTTTTTGGACGTTAGTCACTCTCGAATGTTTATTAGCATTGATAAGCCGGTAATAGCTCGGCTCACATTACCGTAATCTAGTAGACAGCGCGACAAGTTACTGGTTCAAAAAGCTCACTGTCTGACGATGGAACGAAACAAGCGCCTTGTATGAAAAGGTACTCTCGAATGAAGTTACTTTAATCGTAGACTGAATCCAGCTCGATTCTATGAGTACGGTGACTCTCATAGCTATGAATCAGCGCGCCTGTTCACAATTTTTTCCTAAACAACTTCTCTATCTTGTTGCTGTCCGCGTTGATTAAATGTCTTGTGAATGCATGCAAAATCAACTGTACATGGCCATGTAACCAATGCTATTCTTTCTTCTACAGGTATTTTTTTTGAGATGAATATTCATGAATTGTAACACTATCCATTTCCTTGCCCGATATTCTTACCAGATGGATATCAACAGCCTGATCTGCCAGGTCTTTCAAAATAGCAAGTGAAAACAAGTAGCGATGAAGGTCAGCAAGTTACAAAGTGCTCATTACTGACAAAAATATGTTATGATTTTCGGTGACATCGAGATGAGACTTAAACAACTTGCTAATGTCTAACTAGATCCTTCCATTCCGAAAACCCTGCTCTATTTCCTTCTTATCTCGAGCTTTATCGCCTCTACATGGCCACCAGAAGCTTCATTTCCAGTTAACGCGTTAGCACCTACGCTTAGTTCCTTTTCCTTAAATATTGACTACAGTTAACTTTTTTATTTACTGCCTATTACAATTTTCCTAGCAGGGTACAACGTGTGGAACAACCACAATGATGCTGAGATATTTGCAAACCTCCGGACAGCAGGTGTCCGCGGGTATGAACGAACCTGCTACTACCCTTTCCGGCGCTAACGGGTTCACCACTACATCACACGGCTCTTTCGTTTCGCCTGTCTCTCAGCTAGTTCTATCAGCAATCGCCTCTCAACGGGTTTCTCTTAGGAAAAGGTAATAATGCGTTCGTTCTCCACGTCAGATACCTGCGGTCCGGAGTTTTGCAAATATCTCTGCATCATTGGCTATAAGGATAAAAAAAAGGATAAAGTTCTCGGCGTTAACCAATCCCTGAAGGAAGTGTCATGCATTGGACTTCATTGAGCATCGTTTGCAGGTGATTAAATGCATATCTGGTCCTTTACAATGATTCGCGGTGGCTACCGAACCAGTGCTGCTATCCTCCCAAACAAGTTTGGTACCAATTTACCGACTTCAGAGGGATGGTAGGCTTGGTGCGCCATGGGCGTAAGGATCGATTCCACGTGTGTTGCAGGGGGCCTCCTACCACTGCGCCGCACGGGCCCTATCATTCATTGACTATAGTACTCGAAATTCAAACTGAAATCCTTATCGGAATACTTGTAATTTTTTCGAAACTGGCATGTTCTCAAAGCCATATTGGAGAGATTTCTGTTATTTCCATCGATGGTCAAGTTCATTCGTTACTCGCATGAATTTATGAAGCAGATTCCATTCCTATATATCTTACCTTTTTCCATGTGCGGGTGGAACATCTTCTTTGGTCTCAATGTGGACACCACTCTTATTTGCAGAAATATGGCTCTAATTTTCGTAAACCACGACAGATTCGATGTCGAGCGAAGTGAGCTCTAGTTTATGTGAAGACATGGTTTAAAATCAGTAGACGAGAAGCATGTAGCGTTGCCGTTAGAGGTGCCTTGTAATACATGCCAGGTCGTTCATTCTATCCCGCGCTCCGGAATAACCAAGCCTTCTATACTTCCTGGACCAGTAAATTGATACCGAACTTCTCTGGGAAGCCTAAAATATTGAATCGACAAGATTCATAGGCGCAACTCATTGCATAGGGCAGATATTCATTCAATTATCTCTCATTATCTTAAACAGTGTATGGTTAAGTCGAATTCACTTCGGATCTCTCACGGTTCGATCAGTGCCAAAACCTTTATTTTTCACCTTTTTATTAGCTCGATGACAGGACAAGATTTAGTGTATATATAAAAGAAAGAAACGAGCCATAAAACTTTTTCCACAAAATAAAAAAAGCGTCGGTGCTCGTTTTATGAATCAGTGGCCCCCTTTGTGGTCATTTGAGCGGTAATTTTGTCCACTTGATACGACTAATGGTGCCGAATTTGGTATAAGTAGTTTCCTCGGCATTGGAGAATGGAGACACTTCATCTATTTGTAGAACATTCTTGAGACGAAATATACCGCCAAAACGTCTTCCACTGTTTGTTGCTACAAATCAGTAGAGTTTCAACCAAACTCAACCTCCCTTCGTCGTTCGTTTGTTCGTTCACCTCTAATTCACTCTTGAGTTTGACTGAATCTAGTGTGTAAGAAGGTTTTTCCCGTGTTTCAGCATGTGATCAATCATTTTAAGATAAAACTACAGTTTTCCATAATCCACGATCACACCCTTCTATTATCATAAGGCTTTTTTCAATTTAGGATTAGACAATAATTATTGGCTCCTTACCATGATCTTCATGAGCGCATGTATCAATGCACTTAGAGATGCAGTGCAATTGGTTCCTGGCTCGATTCGCGTGCTGGATGAACGAAACCCAGTCCGTCTTTCCTGACTTGGAATATTGATCCTGCACTTGTCTAGATGGATGAAAATGTCGATTTCACTAGGTTATTAAACATTGTAGAAGCCAAACATGCATCAAATCACCTCTGCAATACCATGCATGGAATCGAATGCGTAGCTCATCTCGAAGGGATTTCATCGTAATCTTCACGTTTCCAATTCTTCAATGAAAATCCTAACTTAACTGAAGACATTGATATAGGTGCCAAATCAGTATCAACCAATTGTACGTTGTATTGCGTTTTGACCTCTCGTTACGTCTCACAGACTACTGATCGATAAAAAAATCATTTTTGCAAATTTCACATGGAAAAGGAGAAAAACGAATTCTATTGAAACTATCGAGTTTAAATTAAAATCGTTCTTATTCAGTGACCATCTCATTCCATATACCATAAAACTGCTATTGTCATTTTTGTTCGTTCTCGTTGGATGTATTGGTCTCGTTGGAAACATGCTCACTGTACTTGTTATTTACAAGGTTAGTTAATTTATTAACTCTTTGCAGGCATGTTGAAATCGTTTATCGCCGAAAATGTCAGAAGAAAAATTACAATTCATCGAATTCATATTTGTTGTATCTTTTCTCATATTTTCATCAAGATCAATTTTCTCATATCTGAGATTATTCAGGAGTGGACGATTCAACGGAAAAGTCCTAAATGGCTTTCAATTTTTAGTGGTCTCAAGGGCCACTATGTGCTATTTTCAAGCCTTATTTTTTGCCCTTACAATCACATAGAGGAAAATGCATGTTGGATTTTCTTAATGCTCTGTAGGCACTAGACATTCTATGTAAAGAACATAACTCTAAAAGGAGAGAGTGAAAATAAAAATTCCTCCGCATTTTTTTGAAATTTCGTCAAGACGTATTATTTTCGGCTCATCGTAACTTGAGCTAGAAAAAAAAGCTTCCTCTAAAGTGTCACCCGACAGTTAGTTATCACTGTTGGAGAATGAACTATACGTCCGAAGGAGAGGACTCAACCTCAGCAATCAGAAAATACTCGAAGATTTGTAAGAAGTGCAAAAAGTTTAAAAGTAGTTCCTAGTGAAGTGCTTATTTGAAGAAAAAGCTCTAATCAGTACAGCTGTTTTCTATAAGGAGTTCCATGGGATCGATGAATGTGATGTCGTTAAAGAATTGCGAGTTTTTCGCACATCTTCAGACTACCTCACTTCATTCACATACCAACTACTTTCTTGCGTCACTTGCTATTTCGGACCTTTGCTTGATTGTTGTTGGTGTGCCGTTTGATTTGTTTCGTATTTGGAGAAAAAACCGACCACCTGATATTATTGGATACTGTGCCCTGATGAGTAAGTGATACTTACACGTTGTCGTTTTTTAATTTTCATACCATGAAAATAATATGTTCATACGGATAGACTCATCTTATGCAAGAGAAAGAAGAAGAGGAGCAGAAAAAAAGGAAAAAGAAAAAGAAAAACGAAAGTGAAAAAGGATTTGACAGAAAAATTTTACAACAGTTATTTTCTCTACAGGCACTTCAATATCGTTGTTTACATTTGCTTCTATACTTACAATCGTTTCATTGACAGCTGAACGTTTCATAGCTATTTGTTATCCGTTCAGTCACCGCTCGATATTTGATAAGCGAAGGTCAGTATTTTCACTGTACACGTTAGTTTTTCTTTTTCAATATCGCCTCTATTCTCAAGTTGACCAACATCTGACTCCAATGAACACCTGAAAATCCTTTGCTTCGTTTCTGTGTTGCTGCTTATTGGTTTCCGATTACTCGAGTTATAAGATAGACATCATATTGCGGTGTGATGCCCTCATAAAAAAGTGTTCTTGGACGGAAACGAGGCAACAGACTAATGACTAGCAAGTATCTGTAATATCTGTTGGATGTGCTAACGGATAGCCGAGCGAGTGCGGCGACATCGAACTGTCTGCGAAGTCCGTCATGTATTATTTAACAGTTTTGACAAGATGTTCAAAAAAGATGACAGAATTCTTCCAGAAACGAAACATGATGCTCTTTACTTTTTTACTGCGGAGGGATATCCCTCTCACTACTGAGCAGAATTCTGCACTTAGAACGATTAGAGGAACTGCATTGGCATTCGTTGAAATCACTGAAGAAGCCATGAGAATGTATTATAGGTTGTGCAGATGGTAGGCAACCATCATGGAAGAAAACTAGAATAACATTAAAACCTTTTAAAGAAGACCATTTGTACGAACTAACCAATTACAATTGGAATCAACTTGAATCTTGTGGCTTTAAACGATAAGAATACCAAAAATTCACAATGAGGAAGTCTAATGCCGATTTTTTCAGAGTGGTAAACTTTATTTATATAATTTGGTTGCTCGCCTTTTTTCCGTCGCTCTACATAGGACTTCAGGTGAGCGTTTAATGGTGACTTGTAAACAGCTCATATGGCTGATATAAAACCAACAATATTATTGTTATTTTTCATGCCAAGATGTGAAGTAAAATACAATCACAATGACGGCCGAGATATTTGCAAGACCTTGACCCCGGGCCAGATCGAACCCGCGACCACGCTTCCTGGCGGCTCACATATTGCCCGCTGCACCACTTAGATCGTTGCTTTGTCTTTCTCTCAGCCAGTTTTCTACGTAATGGTGTCATCAGAAATCACGCAATATGATTTGCGTTTTCTAGGGAAAACAAACTCTTGGTTATACTTTTACGAGGTTCTTTTTATTAGAAAATTTCACGAAACGAAACTCTTCAATGCCCTCCTGTTGCTTACTTGTGAAACCATTTGTGCAGAATTCACACAGAACGACAAAAGAAAACGTATGGAAAACAGAGTGGCTGCTCTGAAAAAAGTGGAGTAATGCGTTGAAACGTTTGCGATTGTGAAGTAAACGATGACCTAAGAACTTCATGTCAGATTATCGAGAACAGCTCGTTTGAACATAACTTGTTGTTCAATGGCGATGTTAATCTAGTGCTGTTCGCGCGAGTTATTGCTAAACTCTTATTAATATTCCTTTATTCATACTTAAATAGATGTCATACCGAAACGATTCAGTTCAAACGTGTCGTGCCAGATTTCTGCGGCTATAACAGGCAACTGAATAGTGAACGAGGAAGTTGTGACTACGTAACTAGTCAAAACGTGCCATTCCCCTACCCATTTGAAGTTTGCTCGTTTTTAATTCACTTTTGTTTCACCAACAACGTTTGTCTCCATCTTCGTTTACTAACAGCTTCAATCATTATAGTTAACAATGATTGTTACCTTCGTGATGCCATTGATATTCATCGTGTACTGTTACGTTAGAATCTTAGGTACGTTGCTTATTAAAATTGCTGGAATTACAAACAGTTTTGCAAGTTGTTCGCCATTTTCTCAGCAACACTCAGCGAAATGTCAACAACATCAAGAGTTCACGTCCCAATCGGTACTACTAACAGTACCGACTCGTCACAGCCGAGCATACTATATGTGCACACAAAAAACGACGCGCCATCAAAGAGTGAACAAGCACAAAGAATGGTTATTATGATGCTGGGTAATCACGAAATCAGCAGTTGGCATGTCAAAATTGACAACAAACCTCTATTTTTAGTCACTGTCACGACCGTATTTTTTATCTGCTATCTACCGTACCATATAGAACGATTGGTAGTACAGTACACAAAACAACAATGCGACAGCTCCACATTTTGCTTGCTCCTCTATCCCATTACAGGTAAACCTTTTAAATCTAAAACGATAATGGAAATGTGATGTGACCGTGATAATGGAAAAAGGATAGCCCCACTCCCGACAACGCAGTCTACAGATATGTGTTCCTAGGATTGTGGTCTCGAGATCTCGATCCAGCGAATCCAAAATTTTTAGTTCAGGCTTATTGCAATACATCTCCGCGACATTAAATCCGATATTCTACAACCTTATGTCGACCAGGTTTCGAACGGCATTCACTCAGCTCGTGCACCAAATGTTGCTAAAACGCGGTGGTGACTATGACTCAATGGCTCGGATGTGATGTCAACGCATGTTGCTTTCCATGTAAATTCCAGCAGAACGCCTTATTTCACTCAAATGTGCATCTCCATATCTACCATTTCCATCATTTAAACCTATTGTGAAAAACCTTCACCTTTTTATTTTAGTTTCTCTTGTCTTGAGAAATTCTTCACACGATCTTCTGCATGGTCTTATTATTAATCAATCAAAAAGAGGCAAAGTGAACTTAGTCAGTAATAATCTGTAATAAAGTAAAATACTATTCTCATATTGTATCTTCAATGGCCTAACACATACGTAGATGAGGAAGAAAACAAACAGATAAATCTACTTTATTCTCAACTGTATATCTACAGACCTTAAAAACGGCATAAATATTAAGCTGTAACGATTATCGACTACAACTAAACATTCATGGACCTAAGTGGACCTTCATGAAACTCTTTAGACCTCAACTTTAAGGCCTTTCAATGTCTGGATTGCATTCTGAAGGTACTGATCTTTGAAAGATCTCTCGGATGCTTGCTGTTCCACCTTAAATGGGAACAAATCAGCAAGAAAAACTAAAGAAATGAGGCGTATTTCGACGAAAATGCTTGCTTATCCTCTTCTAAACAGAACAAATTTCTCAACAAATGTCCGCTTATACGCTTAAACACCTAGCAAAAGGTACTCCATATAAATGTAGTGAGAACATAACATTCACGCACAGAATTGTCACAGTACAACTTACACCATCGCTAATAAACTTTAGCATCTGTTCTCTCTCGAAACGTCTTTTGGTCTCCTCCGTCTCCTTGAGGTAATCAAGACGACGCCTTAGTTCGGTCGCCACGTTTTGCACATTCTTCCTGAGAATAGCCTGTTAGTTTGAGAAACTATTGAATGAACGTTATCGCTATGATACAAACAAGATTAACTACATCGAGCAAATATGAGAGCAAAACCTTGAAATTTTCCACGTTAAAAAAGATTGTGATTTGAACACATTTAGAAACACAGACACATACGAATTCATTATGTGCTCCGGAAGATAGTGTCCATTTCCAAGTCATATTTCCAAAGTGGAATATCTCGGTCAACAAAAAACTTTATTAGTAAAAACAAGAACTTTGAAATTCATACATTTTTGTCAATCGGAAACAAATTTATATGTACCAACTGTATAAAAACCTAAACCTTTGAAACCGCCACCACCGAAAGCAGTTCCGACCTCAGCATTTCCTGAAACACTTCTGGGAGTGTAATTAAGGCAAGATGTTTGCCAAACTATGGTGTATGAGGCACAGTTTCGTATCCTGGCACGTGCAATTTTTGCAGCTTCCGTACTGCGACTCGTTGCTACGTAGTATAGTGGAGGACCAGCCTCTTTCTTCTAGTTTATGCGAGGTGCAGATGAGATTTTTCGTGCACGTTGTCGAATTTCTCAATGTACTACCCTGCCGTGAACGGCTAAGTCCGATTCAATAAGTTCTAGTCCATCAAACCAGAAGCAGACCAACAGTCGGTCACCATGGCTCTTTTTTGTACCAATTTTGGTTTTCCGAAGTGCTATCGAGTTTCACTGCTGTCCAGGCCCTGAGTGCCGGGTGAGTGACGACCCATTTCTCGTTGCAATTCACAAAGTGGACGAGAAACAGCTCGTTCCGGTTGCGCAGAAGAACAGCCGACAATACTTCATAACGACGAGAACGAGTTCTCTGATTGTCATTCAATTTGTGCGTCATCCTTTTCCGAGCTTAAAACCAGGATGAAATATCCTACAGCAGCATAAGAACAAGGGTAAGAAATAATGCGGCGTGTAGATAGATTAAAACTATCGAAACCTGCTGTGTCGTAATAAGCAATGCTTAAATCTACAAATTCATTTCCATTACACTAACATGGAACCTTAACACAGTTATTCAGCAAGCTCCGCTCGATCGTTCTAATGGTATGTGGGATCTCTGCGAAACATTATTCTTGTTTTTTGGTCATAAAATGAGGTTCTTAGGCAGATGAAACGAAATTTAAACATTTGAAAATTTTTTACAGAAGCACAGCAACAACTACACATTCAAGAACCTATGTTCCGTTGAACCAAGTCCTTGCTGATGAATAGCTTCGAAATGAGAAAATCGTCGAAAGAAAAACTGTCCTTTGGGTTACAGAAAAGCAGGGTTTAACACCTTGGAATACTTACGATAGCATGAGGTGTGTTAGTTTCAAGCTGCCACATACGGTCGTTGAAACCAATACGTATCGTTTAATATGTTTTAAGATTACAATTAAGAATGGACTAGTATTAGAATTTCAAGATTAGATTAAATTAGATTAGATTGGCTATATTATGAATCCAGTCCTAGCTTACAAAACAGTAGTTATTTTAGCACTCCTTTACAAATACACTCGACCATATACTTTCCTATTATTGATTGAATTATGCTTAAACTTTAATCAATTAGGAATCATGCATGATTCAAAACAAAATATCCAACAAATATAAAAGCCAAGTTCTTTGGACAAACTTTTTTGGAACTTTGACACAAATTGGCGAAGACGACATACCCACTGCCATAATCGTTTTTTTTTTTACGATGGAGATGGAATACACGTTTCAAGTTCAGAACAGTAACACATGTATTCCTGGGCCCTAGCAAGTGAATAATGGCAGCATTTCTAATCGTGACAAAACTAGTTCGACAAAACTAGCACGAATAGATATAAAAAATGCTGTTAACGATAGAGAACTAATCAAATATCTAAGTCGCCTGGTTCCTCAGATGACACACTCCGATGTGAAGTTAGAAAAATATGTTGAAAAATACCATCAATGAAGAAATTATGTGGAGCACCTTACCTGTAAGTGGCCTCAAGCTGCAACTGCATATTCTCTTTCATGATCACCGGGAAAGATTCTTTAACAGCTTTAAGCGATTCCGTTTCAGCAGCCGAAGTCTAAAAATAATTACGACCTAATTATAGGTATACAAGACATAATAAAAAATGAAAACCGCGTAAAATAGGTCCCAGCCTACCTTTCGGAACTCAACAGCGTCCTTGAGGTCATCAGCAATCAGTCCTTTATAGTAGTTCATACGATTTTGGTACGCTCCGTAAAGCCAATTATCGAGCTTGTCTAAAACAAATCCATCGACATCAACGATGGGATTGAATTATGTATGAAGACTAACATAAACCCTCGTTTTTCAGCGTCACCACCTTAATCAGTTTCGAGAAAAGCTACATTCTTATAGAAAGTTCGAACAGTTCGAAACCGAACACTAATCAGCCCGGAAAATCCCTAAAGGTTCGATGACGTATTCTTAAATAAAAACTATATCTATCGCCACTCTAAAGACCATTTTCAATAAAAACAATGTTGAGCACAAAAAAGATTTGATGAATGAAAAAGTGAAGTATTAAAATGAAGAATAAACTGCGGAAGTAACAAATAATGCCCCATTTACAGTGTAATTACTCCTGTATACGTTTTAGCAATGATTTCTATCCATCAAATTCTGTACTCTTGTATATCACTGCGATGCTAAATTTATGTACTTTCGCTCTGCAAAATTGAATTACAGTAAGAGCTGCACTAGTGAAAATTCAGAGGTTTAGAAAACGATGAAGCTCTCTGCGTTGATCAATCACTGAGAGATGCGCCATGCAATCAACTTCATTAAGCAACGTTTGGAGGTGATCCAATGCAAATCTGACCTTTATGACTCGCGGTGGCCTACCGATGTATCAAGTCAGTGCTGCTTTCCTCCCAGACAAGTCTGCTACAAATTTGTCAACCGTGGAGGGAAGGAAGGTTTGGTGAGCCTCGGGCGGGGAGACTAATCCCGCGTGTATTGCAGAGCGATTCCGATCACGGGTTACGCGCGTCCAAATAGGTTACAAATCCAAACGACAAGACAGAAATTTTGATAAATACACTTCTACGAATTAAAATCGAGGTATTGAAGCGAGAGTGCTCGAAATATTAATGGCCTATGGAGCAAGCAAATGTTGACGAATGCACAATGTGATGTTGGTTTGGAATCAAGGTGGAGAAATCGCTGTTGAAGACAAGGAAAGCCAAGGACGTCCTTATGCTACTTACGACCACCAATTTAATGCTGTTGTGGGAACATATACACAAAAAAATTCCGAGCAATTACAAAATTTGGTTCAAGTATCCAAACTATTTCGGAGCCTCCCAATGGCTCACCGCCTCATCGTGGTTGAGAGATGTTCCTGGACGTCTAGCTGCGATGCACATCGGGGTGATCCATCTCCTCAGCAGGATCTCCAAGCTGAGGAGTCCGGCGTTTCCGTCAGGAAGCCAGGCATCTCCCTTTGATCGACAAGGGCGGCGACTGCCTGTAGTGGTAAGGACCTGGGGCAAACTTTGGCTAGGCTGACCTCGGGACTCCAGAGAAACACAACGCCTAAACTAGCAATTCCCCGAAAAAGTGGAAATTATGCTGCAGCCCGGACTACCAGTGGGTACGGGCTATCGAAGTATCCAAGTAACTATTTCGAAGTACCAAAAAGAAAATGCGAAGTCGAAGTTTCTTAAAGAATAGACGTCGTACGTATTGAATGATCCTTCTCCACAACAACCTGTGATCACACGCTGCATTGCTGACGCTGCAAAGACTGAACGAGCTGCACTAAGAAACCGCCTCATCACGCAAATTTGCTGGTACTTTCATCTATTGACTATCACTGATGGCTATGAATTAAAACAGTGAAGTTCATTCTGAGTTAAATGTGGCACTTTGGAAATGAAGGTTGAAACAGACACCAACTTCCGAAGAACCTAATAGAGTGACACAAGAGATGCAGACCAGTGGATAATCTACGCACTACGTTTCTAAATAAAACAATATTGAATGAATCATGATAAGGGAATTCAATTTTAATTTGGAAAAAATTGAAATGTAGGACAAACCAACTCACATCCAATAGTTCTTGACAGCAAAAGATAGAACAGTATCCAACCAACGACCATATGTCCTTGCTCCTCGTACACCCACAGTTCCTTATTGACAAGGAATGCGAAAAAACCACCAAAGAATAAGTATGGCCCTGTAATTAAATGTCGAGAAAGAAAAATATAACGAGTAAAACTGATTCAGTGAATTACTAATAAAGGCAATGTTGCAAATACCTGATACACCAGTTACTTTGTGAAACGGAGTAAACCACGAGTCTGGTATCATCAAAAGACGAGTCTTTGGTGGATACATAGGTCGACTCGGATAAGGATAGTTAACCTAATTACTTTGCGATAAGCACACCACAACATAAGGACATAATCAATGAGAACAGACCAAGTCCCTATCAGGATGCTCTTTATAATCCTTTGGTACTTCTGGAAGTGGCTTTGGAGCAAACCATTCCTTCCCACAATCAGAAAAGATCGATTTTGGCGGATGGAGCTCGCCTTTCAAGGGGATTCCTAAAAATATGTATTTCAGCGATTTTTAATTAGACCGAAATGATTTTCAGCTTATCTGAAACATCACCTTTAAAACGTAGGACAATCTTCTGAAAGAACGATGGGTTGTCGAGCTCTTCAGGCCTTGTTCCAACATGACGATCCGCTCCCGCCTCTAGGAAACTTGCTTATACGTCGAAATACAAAAAGCTACTGTAATATGAAAATGGCCCACATAAATCAAGAAAGAACAATACAAACTTACGGACGGTATGATGAGCGCTACATAGTTGAACGACACCAAACCGAGAGCTTTTTTCCACAGGCAGGATGCGGCTCAAGGACATTTTACCTGAAATTTTCCTTCTATAACCAAGAGTGCCAAAGAATAAATAGCAGAAGGCGAGGAAATATAGCAAAAAAAACAGCAGAAACTGGAGCACACTGACAAGAAGAACTCGGTAATTTCAAAGCAGTGCGGAAACTAGTTCAAAAAGTGGTATGCGGAGACCTACCGCAAAATACTACATCGCTAACTAACTAACTATTGACTAAGTAACTACTGCTCCACAGAAGATCCCATAAACAAAACACAGAAACGAAGGAAACAGACCGGCCGCCAAAGAAATCGGACATTGTCCACTGCACGGCAATGCGCAACCCCTACTGGAGTCCTTTAAATTTACGATTGCAGCTATATTTTCTCTCTAGACCAGGTTTATTGCTTCGTAATGGGAGACGTCGGAGGTGCTACATTGCCGGTTTTCGTTCTTACAAACTTAATACGAAGCAACTAGCATTAATATATAAGCAGCCGTTAAGACTAATGTTCAAATATTAATCAGAAGTCAGATATTATCAAGCTGTTCAGTGTCATAAAGGAATAAATAGACTAACGTTGCACTCTAGCCTATAGCACCAGAGATAGAGTGATAAACGCGTTGATCGATTTCGCAGATACTCTCCGAACCACTTTAGGTCGCTCGGAAATCAATATCGGATCCGAGCTTTCATTTTTCCCGGAAAGGTTTTAGTAAGTGGCGCGTGTCTCGCAGTGGTCGAAGGCGCTCTGCTGTACACACGGAATCGATCCCCGCGCTGCAGGCTCACCAAGCCTTCCATCCCTCCGGGGTCGGCAAAGTGGTGCTAGGCTTGCCTGGGAAGGTAGCTGCACTGACTCGGTACATCAGGAGGCCGCCGAGAACCATTTTAAACTCCCGATATTCATTCATTCAAATCCCACGATGCTTAACGAAGTCGGATGCACGGCGCATCCCTCAGGGATTGATCAGCGCCGAGGTCTTCTTTTTTATGTTTTAATAATAGTTTTCTTCCCGGATGATGTGCATACAACATCTTTGCAAAGTTTATTTGTGGCACTTTTGCATCGAATGGTTGAATTTTAATGTAAATTGTGTTATACAAGTTCCGGAAGTTACAAATTGTGTTGGTGACAAATAAAAAAAAATTTAAGGTTAGCACCTTATCTATCAAAACAGTTATTTCAACAAATCCATTTTTACGAATGTAAACTCTCTCCCAGTGCAGCGCAAGCAACTTGAATCAGGACAGTCATCACCTGTCCCTACAGTTATGCCGCCAAAGTAATAGAGGAACTCGACCTTGTAGATGAATGAAGTCATGGACTACCTTCTGCTAGTGACTATGATCATTTGAAGGCATTCTTCTAAGCAAATCCACGCAAAACTGCTTGAGAACTTGAAAAAACAGTTCAGTACAAGCATCTCGTCTGCTTCCGAACAATCAAAGAATATTGCGAAGACGAAGAAACCTGACTATTGGGTACGACACGAATTGAATGACGATCAAAGTCGCTATGATGAGGTATCGTCGGCGTTTATTCTGTGCAACCAGAAAGATGTTTCACGACCGCATCATAATGTGAAACGAGAATTGGATCCTCTGCAGTACTTGTTAATGATTGGCTAAGTGGTTAGACTGCGATAAAACTCCCTAGCACTTGAGAAAGCTGAAATTATACCAAGAGGACGCCATACTGACCGTTTGGTAACCTAGAGGTGGTTTAATTCACCACACCTTCCTAAAATCAAGTGAAACGATTACAGCAAAGAAGTATGTACAGCGAATTGACTAAATTCCTCCACAAACCAAACGGCTGTGCCACTTACTGGTAACAGAAAGGGACTAACTTCACGATAACGAGTGGTCTGATGCTGCACCGCCTCCGCAACAAAGATTTACCGAGCTAAGCTACGAAACTACCTTATCTGCCACATTGCCCAGGCCTCTCGCCTAACTTCCAGTTCCAGAAATACTTCAGAAACCATGTTGATGCAGAATCTGCATTCCATCAGCGACTTCATCGCCTCCAGAAGTTCAGAATTTCAGGCAATCTATATAAATGAGCACCTTTATCGTTGGCAAAAATATGTAGGTTCTACTAGGGGTTTTTATTGCCCTTTTATTAAAGTTTGTTTTCCGAGATGAGATGCGCTGTTTTAAAAATATGGGTTGAGATCTCCCATAAATTTTCGGAAACCTAATATTTGTGAATGTGAGGTATGGATTTGACCTGTGCGTTCATTTTCGACGATAGCTAATTACCCTGTACTGAAGCTTATCACCAATGAAGGTCCTGTAATGGAATTTGCTTCCAAATTTCCATAAACTCTTCACCACCAAACATGGAAGTCCACGGATTGAATACCATAATGAATTTCTACAACTGATGGGAGCTCTATGTGATGACAACATGAAATGTAACGTAATCACACTACCTTTGATTGCCAACATTTACTCAATCTCATAACTTTGACAGGTATAACAACAGAATTCTACTTTTTGAATATTACAGGAAGCAATACCATAGATCTAGAAAAATCACACTTACACGACTAAGCAATAAGCCACTTCAGAATTACAACACCATCAAAGTATATAATGGGAATTATAGTTGCGTTACAATTAATTGTTACTGAAATAGCTCAGTGCCCTTCAAAGCTCGCCTAGCACAATAGACCTTGTCTGCCCTAGTGGCATTTGGACACACCGTGTACGGACCACATATTTCGTCCCTTCTGAAGCAGTGCGAAGTCTCTCCACACATGTACGTGTTCCAGTGATGTCCAATGCATTCTAGAAACAAAAAGTTCGGCTACAGACATTATTTCACTCTTAGGACATTTTAAGGTACCATTGCACGTGCAGTTAGATTCATCAGAACCGTCCAGACAGTCGGCTATACCATTACACCGCGCAGATTTTGGAATACATTTGGACTCGTGATGGCAGCGTATCGAGTTGTCCGGACACTGAAGACAACGTGGAAAGACTGGGAAACAATATGATGAAAGACGGGAACTTACTTTGCTACAACCCATCTCGTCCTTTCCGTCCATGCAGTCCCATACACTGTCGCAGACTTTAGCTTTCGAGATGCACTTGACTTTCCCCGAGACTGAGCGGCACTCAAACTGATCGGAGCCCTAAAACAATATATGAGATCAAGTAACCAACTTTGTGTAGTTCGACGAGCTCACTCCACATTTGCAGTTTCTCTCATCTTCACCATCAAAACAATCATCTATGCCATCGCAGACCTGAAATGAGAAAGAAAACATGATATAGGAGTCTTCGCTGTTATCCCAGAACCACACCAGCATTTGAGGTACGCATTTACGATCGTTACACGTAAAAGCGAGCAGATCATCACATTTTGTGCAGTTGTACGCACATTGCTCGATGACCCCAGAACATGCTTCCGCTTCCGGATAACGTCGTCCATCAGCACACGTCACGTACGGAATCTGAATCGAAATCCTTTACTGTGTCGACAGCAATTTCCAAGAAACTCATGCCTTTTCAGATTCGTCCAAAAGGCATGAACCTGGGCAGTCCTCTTCGTCGATGCCGTCGCTACAGTCCGCTATTCCATCGCAGATTCTAGACCGCTCCAGGCATTGTCCGTCGGAGCAAAGCGCTTTTTCTGATCCAGAGCACCCTCGGCAATCGCAGCTCTGACATATTTCGTCTTTATATTAATATAAACTTTATGGGAAAAGTTCTTTACTTTTTCGTCCAATCGATCAGGACACTGCGGAAAGCCATCACACAGTTGACCAGCCGGGATGCAACGCTTCGTGGATTCACAGAACTGTGATGAAAAAAATTCTAAAATTTTTCTTAAAAAACCGCCCAAGGATTGAGTATTCAAAGACTTGAAAACTGGTTATGACCAGAGTGGTCATGTTTCAGTGTTTATCTCATGATCTTAACAGAAGGAATCCATCACCTCATGAACATTATGTTTTCTATCGGTGACCTACCAAGGCTCCTCGGGTACAACTTGTGCAGTTCGACTCGTCATCTTCGGTATCGCAGTCCACTACACCATCACAAACCGAATTTGGCGGAAGGCAGAGAGACGTTGCCGGGCATCTCAACTCCCCTTCATCGCATGAATCCTCTATGACACACACACACACACACATGCACTTCACATCGCTTATAGCCAGTGAAATAAAGCTTACTGCAATGCCTTTTCTCATCGTATCCATCAGGACAATGAGGTATGCCATCACAAAGCTGCTCAGATAGTAGGCAAGCTTTCACATTAGTTTTGTTTGAAATCGTGCACGAAAATGCAGTCTGGCACTCTAAAAAGCGAAAGCAGGATTGTGCCGCATTCGAGATTCATCGACTGGTGAACATTCCCACCTTTGCAGTTCAACTCATCGGATCCATCTGGGCAATCACTCTTTCCGTCACATCGCAATGCTGTACTAATCACCAGACTCTATAAATCAAAATCAAATTTGAGAAACCTGCAACAACGCTGGCAATCGACTCATGGTAGTCAAAATTTATCCCTCATAGCATCTCGTTTCAAATATCACTGCAAAGGAATTCTCATTCCAAATAAAACATGTGGGAAAAAACCCTTACCGGTCGACCTACAACATCTGTGTTGTAAAATCTATCGACCGAATACAAAAAGTACAGCTAAAGGCTCTTCCATAAGGAAAGAAAGAGTTAGAAATACAATGAGTCAAGACTAATTCATACCATCCAGGGTACCTTCACATGTACGTGTTAGGGCTAATGCCTGTACGAGTGTATTAACCGTTAGTTTTATGTTTAGCACTAAGTACGCACTGGCAGAATAGTACAGGCGAACCCGAATCCGTCGCACAATGAAACATTCGGTGGAAAGAGTGCAGTGGATGGAATACTATGCACGAGGCGAATATCGCTGCCTCGCAACTCGCCCAGAACGTCATCCATTTCGTTATCCAATGGGTCCAGTTTAGGAAACTGGTGTGTTTCTCGAAGAATCTGAAACTGAGCGTCTCAAAAAACAAACTGACTATGACTAAATGGATGAAGTGCCACTAACCTCCATTTGCACTCTAGGTAGATTCTGTTGTTCAGATTCTCTGTCGACGGTACTGGTTAGAATGACGACAGCTGGTATAAGAGCCAGAAGAAGAGCAATGATAATGCAAATCCCTGCCACAATTACCACTACAGGTAACTGAAACGAACGCGAAAAAGCAATTCATGCCGATACTATGTCAAGAGGTTTTTTTTCTGGAACCATCCATAGTAGATATACCTTCAAAAAGCAGGAGCAACATGTTTGTCCTACATAGTCACGAAGACGTTCAATTCGGCCCCCAGGAATTGGCTCGGTTGGCCTGGGAATGGGATTTGAACCCAACATATTTGCGGAATTCCATAGAAATCACTAAAAAATCCGCTCACCTCGTCTGTTGTGGTAGCTGTGGCTGCTGAACGTGCCTCGGCGTGTGCATGTTATTTCCTCTTCGCGAGTTAGTCAGTCCTCCTCTGTTTTGCTTAAAAATCTCGCCCTGGTTATAGTTACAACAAGATATGGTTTATCTGGAGGACAACAGTTATCAACTTACAGTCCGTTTTAGCGAATATACTGCAGCGTTGCTATCGAATGTTGGATCGATTGGTAATGACATATGAAGTTGACTTTCTAATTTCACTAAGCAGACGGTTCTCTCTTTCTCTCTTCCTCTCCCTAACTATAAAGCCATAAACCTAGAATGTCCAAATAGGAATGGAGAAAGGATTCTTTGTTATGTGACAAGAAAGCCCAGTAAAATGCGCAGATCGAGAAAGAAATAAGACTAAAGAAAACGAAACAAACGAATGATCCTCACGGCTGGATCGAAATCCTCAACGATCTCGCCGAATGCCGTCCCATGGCGCCAAAAAATCGCGCCCATAATGGACATATCGATTGCTTCATTTTTGAAAAGATCATTATTGCTTTCAGGCATAGCACAATTTCCTATATTCCGGAGTCTCTCTTTTTACTTTAGAGAAAGTGTAGAGCTATTGAAGAACAGTAGTCTTTGATCTAACTCAGCCAGAAATTGACAAATGATGTCCTAAATGTATTTTACCAATTCTGAGATCATTGCCTCTGGTGGGTATTGATGATGGCACTGATAGCGTGAAAATTAGCTGAGAGAAAAACAAGGCTAAGGCCGGTGGTGCAGTGGGTAGCACCTGTACCCCTGGAAAAGGTAATGGTGGGTCTGAATCTGGCCCGAACGACAAGTTTTCCAAATATCTCGACCTTACTGTGATTGTTGTTCGCATAATACTCTACTGTGAAGTTAAACATATTTGACATTTGTTTGAGACGACCGACTTAGTACTTCGCATATCTCCTGTGGTTCTAGAGGCTTGCGCTTATGCAGGTCCACTCGACCTTACTCAGATGACATCGTCAAGCGATAGAATATTCCAGACTCGATTCCTTAACACGCGTGATATTTGTTCCCAATTAAGAAGTGGACAACACGACAACATATCGATGTGCTCTGGTCTTATAGACGAGTAATATAGTTTGACGAAGATGACGACTGAACTCTGGTTCTCAACGTCGATTTTCCTTACAAATTAGGCTAAGAAACCTAACGACTTTATCTATGTAGCTATACTTTGTGCGGTGAAAAAAAAAATGGCCGCGTTGTTTCTTGATCAGAAGAAATTACTGAGAAAGCCAGCTGTTTCCAGTCCCAACCTGACCAGTCTTCCCCGACTCGTGCTGCACGCAGAAATCCTAAAAGCACATAACAGGAGTTCTTACCAGAAATTTCATCGGCATTCTTTCAGACACAAACACATAATCTGCTGACCTTATGTTTAGCATCTATGCTGATAATAGACGCACCAGACTTTTCTGATGTTCTCGCCAACAAAACTAGCATTTTATTCCAAGAAAAATCAAGCGCATAACACAATGACGAATGTTGAAACTAAAAATGACGAAGAAAAACTAATAATCAACAACTACTTAAGCAAGAAATTTCATCCAGTCGTCTTGTACGAAAGAATTTTCTCGATCAACATTTCGTGTATCTGTGAAGACCAACTGGGAAGGTACCGAGATCTTCAGATTGCTGAAATTTCTTCCATTATATAAATATTGTTACTATGTATTTGACTTTACACAAATTTACTTACTCGAACAACTCGCTTTCGTTTTCATGTGGGAATAGTGTCTCTTCGGTTGAAAATTCCGGAAAAAGCATTCCGTTGGGCTGCTCGGTTTCACGATAAACATGATTCGATATTGAGGTTGTATCTAGGTTATATTGGCAATAAGAGAATAACCAACCCAAATAGCAGGATTTCCAAAGCTAATGATGGTCCTTTGTTCAGAAATCCTCTACAACTATAAAAATTACCTTCATTTAAGTGGATTTCCTCAGATGGGATTGCTTTCTCTACCATATCCGCAAAAATATCAAACCGCCTCTCTATATTTTGCTGCGCAGTCCCGCATTCCTCGTTGTACAGCTCCGTCCATCTACGGCTTCGCTTGCTACCACCGGAATTGTCATCGACGGTAACAGTCCGTTTTGAAATATCTGCAGCTGATTCTGCTTTGGAAATCGGGTACACTTCCTGTGTCAATAAATCGGATACACTACTATATTGTCGTCCGCAAGATTCACTATCATCATCCTGATTACAGCACTCCTTAACAGCACTACGTTATTTCAAGACAAAAGGCAAATTGGGAAATAATGTCTACCGTATGGACAACACTCACTCCGGTCTATAAAAAATAGGCTCCTGCTCAGATCCTTGCCAACGCAGCTCGCCTGTCGACGTCTCAGGACCCAGTAGACACCGGAATGTTATACAATGTATTTTCATGCTTCAGAAGACGTGAACAATTACATTGAAAACGCCGTTTGTTAGCAAGTATTTAAAACTCGACGAATGGAAAATTTTTAAAAAGAGATTGCAATCTCTGGACACTTAGATTCAGTTTGTACCATTCGAACCACTCAAAATGACCATGTTGCCTCATTTTCCCACTAATGAAAAATGACCAAATGTTCTCTTGACAAGAAAATAGTACAGGATTTGTCTTTTCACAATTTTTCAGCAAAGCTTTATCTTCGTATCCATATTACAATCCAATTTAAGGCGCATATTTACAATAGCTAGGTTTCCTGATGGAAACATCGGACTTGTTCTCAGCTTGGGAGACCCTGCCAGGGGATAAATCCCCCACTGTACACCGCAGTCCGATACCCAGAAACAACTTCCAGCCACGATGAGGCGGTAAACCATTGGGAGTAACCTAGAATATTACAATTCCTAAGCAAAAAACTTACTTCTGTGGATCTTCGTAAAAAGATTGCCACCGCTGGTTTGAACCTATAGCAGCATTTCTTGTTTCCGAATTGCTTGAGCACTTCGAATACATTGACACATGGGACCATGACCTTATCTAAAAAAACACTTGCATAACGTCAAGCACAGCAATGCTAGTGAAAAAAAAACATTTTAGTTTCTACAGACCCATCGTTGAAAAATAGCAGGTGGCTGCCAATTTGGATCAATAAGCTGCATCCTGTCTATGACGCAGTCAACCAAAATTCTCAAGGTCACCTTCGGAAAGGATCTCATCGAAAAACTTTCATGCAGCGGCGATTCAAGACGTCGGTAGCATTCCTCCAAAATTCGCAGCTTCTCTGAAAACCAGCAAAAATATGAAAATACGTAGGAATTTGGCAATGCAATAACAGCAAACTCTTTACCTCGAGCACTTATAGGAAAACTCAAGTGGCGAAATATTAGAGAACCTCGAGTACGAAAAAATGTCTGGATTCTTCTGAACACAGGGCATGTATTCAAATTAAACCTCTCACTGTCAGTAATTCCGTGGGTTGATAACCTGAAAACCTGACTATATAAAAGGATAAAGCCCTCGGCTTTGATCAATTTTTGAGGGATGTGCCATGCATTCGACTTCATTAAGCATCGTTGGAGGTGATCGGATGCAAATCTGGTTTTCATAATGACTCGCGGTGACCTATTTATATAGCGAGCCAATGCTAATATCCTCCCAGACGAGTCTGGTACCAGTTTACCAACACCGGAGAGATAGAGAGCTCGGTGGGCCTTGGGTGCGGGGATCGACGCCGTGTATTGCAGTCCGACCACTGCGGTACACGCCCTCCTCTTGGCTATTCTGGGAAAATCTGGTTATGTGCAACAAAAGTGATAAAACTAACCCTTACTTTCTTGCTAGTTTGATTTTATCGATATACTGTGAGTGAACATCGGTAGTATAGCTATCGATACATTTTCGTAAACTCTTTGCATAACAGACTATATCGCGCAGTGAAAAATGGGTACGTGGCATCACCTTAAAAACATTATTACGAAACAAGAAACAAAACATAAGCGCTAACAAACACCTCATCCATAGCACGAGCCCATGCTTGATCTTCACCGACTGAACCAATGTGAGCTAATAATGACGCTCGCAACTGTTTGATAATGATCCGCCTATAAACGAAAACAAATCGATTACACCACGTCTCAATATTTTGTGCTATTAATATCTGTATAACAAATTCATAAGAAAATGATGAAAACCACCATAAAGTGTCTTTCAACATGGGAAGTGATTGCGATTTCTAAACCAGACGTAAACATCAATGAATCTACTTCTGGTCTTCTGTATTACAAAGTAAACAAACTCCTCGTATCACAGTCTGTTATTTTTAATAGTAAACGATGGTAAAACATGGGTATTAATGTCTTAACCACTCGTGTTTGATATCTCCGGAATGTAAAGGACGAAACATCGGAACCAGTTCCGCCCAGTTGAAATTCGAAAGGTGACTCTTCAGTTGCAAAGGTGATGATAAAAGACATTTCGCAACAGCTGTGTGACACAAGGAGGACTTTGTCACCACGGTCTCTGAAAACACTGT